CGCTTCGGCATGAAGCCGTCCTCGCGGGTGCCGCGTTGCCCGAGAGGGGTGAAGCCTCGCCAGGAGTGGGACGAACGGGCGCGGGTGAGAAGACCATCTGTGGTTGGGTGTTGGGTATTCTCGCCATCGCTTGGAAGAGGGGCCAGAAGGTCCAGGATTCATGTAACACTCATTGATTGAACACATTTAACCACCCCATTTTGAATGGCAAGTTGGCTCTTCCAGATGGGGGATTTCTTCAAAAACCAAGCGTCTACATGAATTGGAGGGAGGGTCGAACTTCGCCATGGTTTTTCCACTGTTTTGAGATGCTGGGCATGTGGCCTTCTTGGGGCTTCCGGGCCGATCCCTCTGTCGATCGGACAGAGAGAGAAGGCCTCGGCCTCTGTTTTGGTCGCGGCACAGCACATCCGTTCGACCCGAGTGAACGTGTTTTTCTCGCGGTTCTGAGGTTGACAGTATTCACTCAATCACTGGTCTGTTGGAACCCAGATCTTCTTGTGGCCTTGATGCCTCCACTGGGTCCCCACTCGCCAGGAGTGAAGGATGGGACAGCGTCACCTTTGCCGAGATGCAATCTGAAGGATCACACCTTAGGACCCTTGCCGTCGGAGCGCTGCGTGAAGCAAGCCGCCCAGGAAGCGTCCGCACGGGCGTCTAAGGAAGCTTTGGAGCCTGCCATCGTGTTTCATCACAACCACAAAGCGGGGGGCACCAGCATCAAAAGTGCCTTCCAAACCACTTTGTGCCGACGCCCCAAGTCCTGCATCTTGTTTCAACGAAACACATCCACTTTACTAACACGGCGAGTGTTGTTGAAGAAGGAGCGCATCAAGCGAGATTTTTTGTTTACAGCCTCCATGGAAGAGAAGATGAAGGTCCGTCTCATCGTGGCCGACCGCTTCTGGACGGGAGTCTGTTCGTTCTTGCCGCGGCCGTGCTTGTATTTCACCACCATGCGAAGCCCGTTGTATCACCACCTCAGCTATTGGAACTTCCTTTGCGTCGGTGGACAGCAGAACCATATGGGTTGGAACGCCACGGAGCTACGCTTGGGACGCTGTGAACGTCCCTTCATCGATTGGCCGATCTCACCCACGCACCTGAAGATGGCCGGCAATTCTGGGGGAAAACACAGCCATCGAATGGATCCGCAGGCATTGTTGGCGGAAACGGTGGAACATGCCAAAACGAAGCTGCGACTGTTTGGAACATCTTGAGGGTTCAAAAACAGACGAGTTGAAGTGAATGAAGATACATGAAGCCCTTGTGGGTTCTGGCCTTTTTAAGGCATAGCCACTTAAGAGGTGTATTGAACATGCTATTTCAGATGTCAACTTGAGAGATTTATTGAATAAAACATATAAGTTTTGGCACATTTTATGTGTAAGATTCAGTCCCAACTAGTCCCCAAAAGATACGCCCAAATAGAGAAACGGATCGTATCAGTCCTGATTCGCTTGAATTCTATTTGTTGTTTCATAGACATCTTCCTCTTCAATGGGGATATTGAAACAGAGGTGCCCCTGCTTAACTTCTTTGCCGGCTTTCTTTTGAAGCTTATGCTGCTGTTTTCTTGTGCATCTCAGGAACCTGGGACACGCATGCACGTGGCATCTCCAAGCTCACTCCCTACAAGCTGGCTTGGTGTCTCGTCCACGAAAAAAGAGGAACTCCGAAGGCATTGGAGTGAAACGGTGACGGCAGGCCGTGGTGGATGGTTCCCATGAGGCCGTGGTCAAGACAGACCGGAAAGAGCGGCGAAGCTGCGGCGAAGCTTTGAAACCAAGTAGGACATTTGATGTTCCGACAGTTAAACCTGTTGCGGTCATATCAACTATATTGCACCGCTTGTTCTCGCGCGTTTCTCAAGTATACCTCTTGGGTCTTTTCTTTATGCTCAGCCTGATTCTTTTTGGCTTCGAAGCAAAAGCACTGCATTTGAGTGGCCTTCCTCCTCCTCCTCCAATTGACTCGCTTCATCGCTTCCCATCTCCAGTTGCTTTGATCTCTCCAACTGGAGAAAACTCTTCGCTCTTGGAGCTCCGCAGTGCCAGAATCGGATTTTTCGGTGCCGAAGTTTGGGACCTGGATATGCTCCGGGTGCTTCTCCCCCCAAGGGACACCTGAGACGCTTCAGGCCCAACGGCCGGGTCCATTTTCTGCCTCGACAAAAATGCAGCTCACGCTGCATCCCATCGAGGGCTTTTGGGTGTCAAATGGGGTCACCGCCTTCGTGTCTTGCTCACCATCGTGTTTCTGTCCCACGCGTTCAAGCTAGGAAAAAGATGGAAAAGTGATATAACCATATACCAGCGCCGCGGAGTTCAACGTGACACCCCCGACTGAACATGTATGAACCACTCATGTTTGTTGTCTCAGTCAGTGGGTTTTCTGGAAAACACTTCTCCTCCAACCCTGGAATGATCGCAGACGTCCGTTTGGGATCCTGGACGTTTCCACTGATCGAGGTCTTGCTCAAAAAGAAGCTGGATCCGCACTTCCGGGAGACGCTGTCCATGGCGGTGAACATGTCGCCGGCCAACGCTCATCCACATCCGAGCAACGTATCGGAGGACTTGGCTTATGAGCTGGAAACGTCCACCGCGGATGGAGGGTCGCTGGGGCGATTGAAACGGAGATCGATGGCTTTCTTTCTTTTTCAACCCGTCATCGGACCTACTAGCGATGGCCTCCAACCTGAAAGAGCATCAACAACTCTTCTTTTTGGGGGGGTCACAACCTTGCGTAATCATGGAGGGTCTAGTGAGCCTCGCAAACGGTGTGTCTACACTAGGGGTTCTTAAGGCAGTAGTTAAGGCAGGGTGTTTAATCTGAGGTGCTCGCAGGCGAGCCCGGGTAATTCGCTGGTATCTATATTCATTCACCTCGAGATCTTGGAAGTGCATTTCGACTCCGCAGGCTTGCAGAATCTGGTGGGGTCTCTTCGAGACTGCACTCTCGTCGAGGTGCCGTGCGCATTTGCGGACTTAGTCATCAATTTTCGTGGCAGGCGCTAGGGAAACCTCGTGTTTTTTGGTCTATAAGAGGTCGATTTTTTGCAACGGGTCGGAGCAGTTTTTTGTCAGTGTGTAGATTTCATGGTAGGTGCCGTGAATCGTCTTCAGAAATCTGGTCAGAAGTCGGAGGAAGTCAGAGTCTGAGCCTCTTGATGCTCTTGTTGCAAAGCGCCTTGGCAGCGTGTCTCCTGATGTTCAGGCGCATCACTTGGTCAACCTTCAAATGTGGATTCGTGGCCAGCGCAGGACCTGGAAGTGTGGCAGACGCAGCTCTTTGTGGACCTTGAAGTGCATTTTCACATTGTGGCAGATGCAGTAATTTGTGGACCTGGAAGTGCAGTTTTTGTGGCAGACACAGCGCTTTGACCTTGAAGTGTACATATTGGTGCAGACACAGTATTTTTGTGCACCTTGATGCAGACTTTGTGGCAGGCGCAGTACTTTGTGACCTTGAAGTGCAGATTCCGTGGCAGTGGCAAATGGCGCCTTTTAGGGTTGCAGCTCGTTGGCGAATTTGACCATCCCAGATTCAACACTCTCCAATACCATCCCTGTTGGAATGAGTAGCCCACATCCACCCTCAGAGCACAGCTCCTGTCACACGCCCTCTGCCCCTCTGGAACACACGCGCGTGGTTTCGTCGATTCGAACAAACTCGGGGCCCGACGTGCGCCGCAAGCGTTTGTTCGTCGGCAGTCACAGCTGGAGTACTTGAAAGCGGAGCTTGCGAAAGCGTTGCCAGTTGGATTTTGTGTCGCGAAGGATGGGATTCTTCTCAATCGCTCTCGGCAACAAAGGTGGGCCAGTGAACCGGGACCAAAGAAAGGTCGAGGCCGCGCTTTCCATTTTCCACTAAAGCGTAGTCCAGGATATGTGTTGTTTACTCCTTGAGGTGCAGATTTCGTGGCAGGCGCAGCGCTTTGTGGACCTTGAGGTGTAGGTTTCGTGGCAGGCGCAGTACTTCGTGGCAGGCACAAAGGTTTGATGGTGCATGTAGTGGCGAACAGTTACCGGACCATCCCGCAAAAGACACCGTGTGAAGATCGTCCGGGTAGCCGAGGACGATGTGGGCGAACATTGTGATCTGGGGGCACTCCATTGCCATTCAAAGAGCTCAGTGGCAACGGGAACTGTTTTTCTGTTGAGAACGCAAAAGAAGATGTTTGGAATCCAGCACTGGGTCAAGCTGCGGACGCGAGCACTTGATTGGTTTACCAGATCGTTCAACATCCAAAAGACCGGTCGAAGTGTCAAAGTCCGTTGGTATTGGGACCCCTGAAAATGATCACGGAAATTCGGCGTGACCGTGCCATGCAGTCGATGAAAACTCAGTGAAACTTTAGAGGAAAGTCTTTGTTTCGTTCAGATCTGCAGTGCAGATTCTCAACTTCGACGACGAGGAACTGGGAACATGGTAGGAGTGACTGATGGTTCTCGAATGGTCTTGAGATAGTTACAATGTGTTATGTGATTCAGATATATAGTTGTTGTTTAAGGATCCTTCCGATGTTTTAATCATTGGTGTTTGATCCAGGTTATAGACACCCTCGGAGTCCAAGACCTTTGTATTTTAATGTGATTGGCTGCATGGTCATCTAATGACCGAATAAACGCCTGAGCCAGCCTCGATCCAACCTCAATCGGTCGGCCTGCGATCGAGCTTGCGGCGAGAGCTTCCGTTGGTTGGGGTCGTCCATTTGGTCCTGGCCGTCCACTTGGAAAGGGTCATTCCCAGAAGCCGTTTGGTGCGACTAGCAGAGTGACAACCTATGGTTGCCTTCCTTTTTAACAGAACTCCTAGCAAGGGCGAACGACCACGCCACTGGTGTTGTAATACCAGGTTTTGGATTTTGGACTTATATGTTTTTTCCCCAATAGTCATGCTATGGGGATTAGCTTAGCTATGCTATTGGGGTCTCCAGCTGGGCTAATTTTCATGGTTTTCTTTTTGCGGATGCTTCTATCAAACCCATTCAGCAGGTCGAGAGAGGCGAGAACCGCGGGAGACGCGGGCCGCTCGGTGCGGAAGGGGTGACGAGTCGGAAAGGGCTGGAAAGGGCTCCCCTCGTTGCGAGTGCACGAGGGTACACCGATCACATGGAAGTGGAGGTTTGAACCCCGGCTGCTTTCGAGAGGAAGCTAATGAGTAGCGTCCGGAAGCTACTAGTAGCGATGCCTTTGCTCCCAGTAAGGACAGAATCGTCTTCCATAAGAGACTTTTCCCCATCCAGACCCCCATGTGATGCTCATTTTGGAAGTATTTCTCCATCCCTTTCACGCGCGATGACGGTTTGTGGGTTTTCCCTGCGAGGTCGGATGGTTAAAACAACAAGAAACTGTGAAGGCCGGCTTTTGGTTTGAGCATCCTACCAACATCCACCAACTACACTCCCTGGAACTAACATGGAAGTGGAGAATGCCCCTTTGGAAGACCATTTTCCACTACAAACAGGTGGTTTTCCACTTCCATGTTAGTTCCAGGGAGAGTACCTGCAGACAATAGACACCACACGCTGAGAGGGAGAAGGAATTTGGTTCCTCGGTCAGCGTCCGACATCCGAAGAGACGATGCCGTGCCCAAAAGGCTGTTGAGTTGTATACCTCGCCCTTTGATAAGAACATTCTAGAACCTTGAGTTTAGTTGTAAGGAGTTGGAGGCCGTCGCTATGAGGTCGGAGGCCATCGCTATTAGGTTGGAGGCCAACGCTATTAGGTTGGAGGCCATCGCTAATTGAACCTTATGTCTAGTTGTAAGATGTTGTGAGGAGTTTTGCGGTCACCATGTTTGCCACTGACAATCGAAAAGGATGGCTTAGCTGCCCAAAAAGGACACATACTCACCATGCTCCTGGGTTTCCCCAGCCCCAACCCGAAATAAAGCGTCCTTCCAACATGGCGCCAGCTTGAGATCCTTTACCAAAGAAGCTGGGACAGGGGAGTTCAATCCGGAAACCAATGTTTAGGTCCGCCGTGCGCGCGGCGAGCGGAAAGGAGAGGAGCGGAAAGGAGAAGGCTTTTGACTTTAAACCAATCCCAGACGCTCCATGTATGGTGCCTACATTGGGGTGGTTTGAGGGGTCAATGCAGGCATACATGGCATACATGGAGCGTCTGGGAATAGCAACAGCATGTTCCGATCTTCCAACAATGCACACATTTCTGCCTTGCTTGGCTGGTTGAAAAGAGATGAACAGGCAGACCTTCTGCATTCCAACAGAGGTTGAAGGACCCTATAGCCGCTATAGCTTATCCCAGTTCGGTACCCCAGTAAGGTCCTAGTTCAGGTCACTTAGCCTCTCTTGGGCTCTTGGTTGTTGCAAGATCCGGGTTTGTACGTTGGGTGCCAGTCATCATGAGATCCTTCACTTCGGTGGTCAGACTTCAACGGTGACTGCGCTGACTGCGCTCAGCAAGTGGAGCTACTTCTTCGCCTCCCCCCCACTCCATGCACCTCGAACCTCGGCCCCTCCCCCTGGAATGAGTTGGACAAAAGTAATCACAACAAATCACCAACTTGAGACCTTCGAACATCACCCCCCAATCTCTGCGGCAAAGAACCTTTTGCTTTCTCTCAAGGATGAAGCTATGATGGCATGCACCACATTGCTCAATTTTTCGTGTGGCAGTCAGGCGCATCGTGCCGTGGTCGAACTCGAACGCGCCGCACGCGCGGTCTGATCTCGGTGACGCGAAAGGTGCCTTTACCCCAGTCGGTGAACATATAGTCTTTGGACTTCTACGGCAGGAAACAGGTGGGTAACCATAGGTAACATTTGTAACCATTTTTTTGGTATAGTATAGTTTTTAAACTCAAGTACAACTAGGTGGAAAGGGTTAACCCTTTAATTTATATTCTCCAGGGAAGGATATGCTTTAGATTCCAAAACAGGATGAAGGAACCCTGTAGAGGTCGGAAAGGGTTCAGTTGGGAGTGTGTTGTTGTTGTTGTCGTCATGTTTTTAAATGACGCACTTTCATTTTGAAGGATATTGAACTGTCAGGCAGAGTTCTTCATTCAAAGGAAGATTGTGAAGGTGGACATCCGATGCGTTGATTTCACTTGTACCAAAGGGAACAGCCCAGCTTAGCTATAGAAGTATTACTTGATACATCTTGATACATTTACATAGAATTACAGTAGCAGGCTCCTGGAGGATTGTCCCTCCGTTCCGTCAAAGCCTACCCCTCCACACGGGACCTTCTTGCGTTCAGCAGTGGCTTCGTCATAAAGCGTTTCGACCGTCGACCACGCGGATCGAGCGTCGACCACGCGGATCGACCTCGAACCCGTTCGCCGGAACCTGCGGGCACCGGTTCGCGGTTCTCCGGAGGCTTCTCCGCTCTTCCGCCCTCTGGGCGGCTCTTGCTCCATCATCTACGAGGTCGGGGAGCCGGAGCAGCGGTGTGTCGGGTCGGGTCGCAGCGGAGCTTCACCGGTGTGTCCAGGACGGCAGGACGTATCTGGTTTCTACCGCCGTGGGGGTATGACTATGACGTCCCCGCAAAACAGACCTGGTTGGGAGGAAATTCTGCAGAGCGCAGTGTTGGCAAAGGTGGGATTTGAGTGGATGAGAAGTAAGAAGGAGAAGAAGGAGAAGAAGAAGAAGAAAAAGAAGAAGAAGAAACAACATGATACTCTAACAAGTAGAAACCAACCGAACTCCAGTTGTCTCGTTTTGTTTGTTGCTTCAACAGGACCCACCGATGTACTCGCACTCTTTCGTGGGTCTTCCCCTTCTCCCCAGGCGCTCGAGCGGCGTCCGCGGAGCATCTCCGGCGGAGCATCTCCGGCGGCGGCGCTGAGTGCGGCCGCGGAGTTCCTGCAGGGAGCCAAGGCTCGCGTGGTCGGTCGTGTCTACTGGGGGTGAGGGTCGTGAGGGGTAGCGAGCGAGCGAGCGAGCTCGGATCCTACTGCGAGCTCGGTTCCTTGTTTAACACGGCAGAAAGTGTGTCAGTACGGGATGCTTTGCGCACACTTTCTGCCGACATGACGTTGAAAAACGGTTAATTTGGTGGCTGCCATTTTGCTAGTGGTGTGCCATTCATAGACGCAGTTCCCGTGGCAGCAAACGCAAAAGCTCTGATGAAAAGTAAAGGCGGTAGTCAATAATCAAAAGCAAACCTGCAAGGGTTACTGACCTGAACCTTCTTACCCGACTTGGGTAGTGTCTAGAAATACACACGAAATTAGGTGAGGTGAACCAATTTTTGGCGAATGGGACACCATTGGATACCTACAGTACCTTAATGGAATGCTTATAACATCTTATAACCTAACACCAACTGGTCGATTTGAGCCGCCCGCCCACGGCCCAAAACCACCGCCCAAACCCGCTCGCGTGGTCGGCCGAGATCGCGCGAGCGACACGCGGCCCTCGCGCCCCGCGCAGTCGCCGGATTTGCGATTGCAATTCGCGCTCCTCGTGCACACGGACGAGGCTGGACGGAGGTGTGGACGGAGGACGGAGGAAGCAGGTGGAGGGCAGTCCTGGAGGCGGTGGAAAACGGAACTGGAGGGAGAACTGTGACAGCAAAAAAAAACAACTGCAAGTTTGGAGAGTTTTCTCCAAAACACAGCCTGTGGAAGTTTGGTGGTTTCCAAAAAAACTGGAGGGTCGACTGCCCTCCTCGCCGCTACCGCAGCGCGAGCTCGCGAGCGAGGCGGCTATGTCCCGCTTCGTCGGCGACGTCGAGGGCGCCATCGTGACGCTCTGCAAGGCGCGCGAGCGACGACGACATGGAGGACGAACGGAGCAAGAAGCTACTACCAGCAGTCACAACCAAGGGGTGCCGAACTTGGAGGATAGGGGTGCCCAGAACATCCACTCACTGGATGGACCAAAAACCACCCCTTTGTGACTCCTGGCAGTATAACAGTTATTAGTTATTAGTATGGATAGATAGATGTTTCCCCAGTCCCAGTCCTGGGAAATACCTAGGTAGGGCAGTCCCAGTCACTGAACCAGAAACAGTTCTGGATGGAACGAAACCCGGTCCGAGGCACTTTCATATGGACCAGGAGTTCAAGCTGGCGCCATATTGGAACAACCCTAAGAATCCGGTGCTGCTATAATAGAGAGGGTTTTGATGGGTTTTGAGCCCCTGCGAAGGTGTCGGGTCCGACCCCTGCCATGGGCTCTCCCAAGGATTCTTAGGGAACCAGAACTGTTTTTGGTTGGGACTGGGCTTCCAGGGATGTGTATTTTCCTAGGGAGACACACTGGACCTGGAGGAATCATGCCGGATCCGTTTGGAACGGTTTGGCCGAACGCGCAGTCACTCACGCTGGCCGAACGCTTATCAGATGTTTGATGTGCTCGCTCGCACATCGCACAGCTCGCACACGATGGCGGCTCGCCCCCCCCACTCGCGTGTGTCGGTCGTTGGAAGTGACAGGAGCTGCAATCAAAGGAACCGCTTCTCACGGAGGCGCGGACCACGTCGGATCGAGAGTGCACCACCGGAACGGTTTGGTACCTTGGTGGTAGCTTGGCAAGTTCGCGCTGGAAACGACGACAAGTAACTAAATACGAAAAGGGGAAGTGGGTGGGTCAAGATGTGTCAAGGCTCACTAAGGAGAACACATCCCCAAACCATCAGATTCCCTCCACAAATGATGCTCGTGAGGGCAGGGGCGTGAGGGCCTCCCGTGGTGGGATTCGGTGCAAGCATGACTTGAATCCGACTTGAATCTGATTTTGCGATGGACAAAGGGACCAGAGGAGGTTGAAACAGATTTGCTAGGACGTTCCAACTAAAACAAACATTGGGGCAGAAGAAGAAGACTCCAGCTAAACAGGACACATTCGGCGCCTTTTCGGTCGGTGCGGCCAAACCGAAGAAAAACACCGAATGCGCCGCGGGGCATTTCTGCCAAACCGGTCGCTTTCAACGCACCACATCGACGGGGTCGCACATGAGTGCTTGAGACCCCAGTGCAGCACATGGGTCTTGGCGGGGTCTTTCCCGTTCTGCGGACGTTACTTCTTGCCACAGGAGGGCTTGCTGGCACAGTGGCGCAGTGATATCGAGGTGACGGATGGGGAGCGAACCTGCCAATGGTGGAGGATTTGATATGATCATGTTGGCTTGAAAAAAGAGGGGTGTTGCGTTGTGTCCTGCTTTCTTTCTTTGCTTTTAAATGCTTCTAGGCTTTTTGGCACTGCTTCATGAATATAGGTGTATTGGATCGGAATCGGAATCGGAATCAGATTCGAGGACAGTCTTGGAGTTTGGTATGGACACCTGCTTGGATATGAAGTTTCAGTGTGTTGAAGTTTGGGTCTTCTGAGTTGCTGAACCTTTGGAAGAGGAAGAGAAGAGGAAGAGAAGAGATGCATAAGCCTTGAAACAAGCCCAGCATAGCCCCCAAGACAGCCCAACATACTCAACATAGCGCAACAGCCCAACATAGCCCCAAGACAGCTCATGGACCTCCAAGCATAGCGTTTTCATTGTCATAGCCTGTTTTGGTGCGTTTTGGGGCTTGGTTTGTTTCATATCCATGCATCGAAGCCAAATGAAGAGGCTCCATCCAGTTCCATTCCTCCGCTGTATTTGTAGTGACTGAAGTGGTAGTCCCAAAACAACACGGATGATAGGGCATGTTCTGGAAAACTTAGCTTGTGTTCTACAATAGGGAAAATTTGACGCCACATCTGTGTTTGCTTCTCCAACTGACCAGTGCCTTTCGCAAATCATAGAAATTCCCTCCTCCCCGCCGTTTCCACCCGCTTCGGGCCGATATCAACGTTTTCCATGCCATGTAAATAGGCCAACAACATGACTCAATGACCCAACGTGTACCACTTGATGAGTCCAACGCCACCCATTGAACGGTGGAACGGATCTCGTCTCGTCTCCGCTCTCTGACACCGGCCGTCAACCGGCGGCCTCAGGCCTTTCGGCGCCGCTGCAGCGAAATCTGGGCGGGGGCGCCTGGCCGGAGAAACCGTGGAAGTAACCAAGTATAATATATGTCGATTCACCCTAGAAATCCAGTTCGACGAATTTTTGGCACCGCTGAAGTAAAGGAAATTCCTTTTTCGGATCACCTAAAGACCGTTTTATACATAATGGTCTTTCCTGGACTTGGTTCACGTAGGTTGCATCTATTTTTTTCCACGTTTCTATTCTGGTGTAATCTTATCATATAGCAAGGTTGCAGCTCACTCTTCTAGCGTGATTTCTTCGTTCTTTCTCCATCTTCTCCCAGGAACTTTACGTCTACTTCGTTTTCTTGGACGTCAAGGGCGACAGAGCATTGCTGCGAATGGTTTCCAGGAGGGGCCTCGCCCGGTTCGCCGTCGGTATGGACCCGGTGGCCCGGTGGCCATGTGATCTGGGTGGACTCAGTGGGTCTAGGATAGAAGATGGAGTAACTCTTGCTGAGATTGAACTGGAGCGAGTGAGTACAAACCGTGAAGGATCTTGGCCAGAGAAGCGTGCAGGAGATTTTTCCAAGGACTTACAGTGAGTATATAACATAGATGTCAGAATCAGAACCTCTAAAATAGCTCTTTATGGGCCCCCCTTAGGATGATATCTCAATTTCCTCCGGTACTAAGTCCTATGTTCAGTAGTGGCAACCTGGAATGGAGCCCTCCAGAACATAGTCATGCCTTTATGATTACCCTAAAGACCAACGCCAGATCATTTCCACCTGCCCAACCCCCGGGAGGCCAGAACGACGAAATGATACGAATGGACCCAACGGTTGGATGATCCGTCGAAAGGCGACGTCTTCACATCCTTTCGACGTCGGGTGGTCGGAGCTTCATTCACCTCTTTGGTATTGGTTTTGGGGCTTTGGGAGCCGAGCCAAAGCTTTGAGGGTCCCGGATGGTTCATACTCCTTCCATCCCAGTCTTTGGTGATTACGGTCCACCGATCGGACGCGAATCCCGAGACTCCCGAGCCGCCGCCAACCGCCAGCGCCACCGCGCCGAGTCGACCGCGCCGCGGAGGCAACTGATGGATGTCCTGGAGGTGTCGCCCAGCAGCCTCGCGGCGAACCTCTCCCTCACAGGCGACGCGCAACGCGCGCCACGCGCCACGCGCAGCGCCGTGCGCTGTGCCGATGCCACGGGGAGACGGCGATGCACCGGTGGGAGAGGGTGGAGGCGTGACCTGCAGCGTCAACGGCGGGAGAGAAAGACCTGAGCACACCAGGAGGACACGAAACGCGGCCGTGGCCTGCTCTGGCTGCCAGACATGTTCACCCAAAAAGAAACACATAGACACATAGGAGATAGGTTAGGGAACAACATCAAAGAGTACTTTGCTACTGGAGGGCTTCAACTTGAAGGTGCCATAACTAGAAGAGAGACGAAGTTGGCCAGCAGTTACTGGCATTCAAAAGCCTTCTTGGACAGTGGTGGGCTTCCAGCAGTTCGACTTAGAAGCCCTTCTGACTTAAAATCAACAGCAAAACCATGCTCCAGACTTTTGACTACGATCCACCCGATGACAGTTGCTGGAGCTGATCATGGCTTGTCATGGCTTTCCCTTTTAGCGGAAAGCGGACCAAGCACAGGCTGACAAGGAGGCGATCGATGGAAGGAATCCCAACAACATCAAATGACCAGTGGAATGGAAGTCCTTATACTATTAATATAGATAGAATCTGGTCACTGGGACCAACAGCATCACTTTGGTCACTGGTTTCGACACTTGGGGCGTCTTACGCTTGGGACCAACTTCCAAAGGGTCAGGACGTGCCGAAGGTCGCCCCCTCCGATGCCCGTCACGTGCCCGTCACGTCGCCTCGCGTTCTTCGGTCTTCGGTCTTCCGTCTTCGGTGCCGTGGCCTTGAAGAACGCCGGTTCCGGGTCAGGGAGCCCGGTGCCAGGTGCCTGGGCTCAACCTGCTCAGCAAATGTTGGCGCAGGGCTTGGGAGAAGCGTTGCTGCAGCGTCGCCATCGGCAGGTGCGGCGGTTCGCGGTGACCCGGACGGTCTAGAGGGTCGGACGGACTTGAGGGTCGGGACGTCAGAGAAGTGATGGCTCGGGCCTGGAAACCCAGGCCCAAGCAGAAGCAGTTCTGGTTGTTTCAATATGGTGCCAGCTTGAAACGTCCTTTGCATAGGAGATGGCTGGCCATTTTTTTGGTACTGGTTTCCCAGGTAGGTGTTTTATGGAGGTTCAACCCCATTCAAGATATCCAAGATACTCTAATGACTCTCAGACTCACAGTGCACACTGCGGCTCCGATCGGGTGGTCTCATGGTGGCCCAGATCGCCGATGACTTGGGTCCTTCTCAGGTACGGTGATTGGATTCACTGTTATGTAGGTGTTTGGAGGGTCCTTTGGGACCATATGACACCAATCCCAGATGCGAACCGTCTGGGACTGCCATGTCGGCATATTTATTCCAGTCCCATGGAGTGTATAGGAATGAAACCCATGGAAATGCCTTGACCACGACAATAGGGTGATGCCATGAATGAACCGTCCCATGGCCCGAGCAGGAACCTTTTTTTAGTGCTCGTTACATGTGCTCTTAAAGGCTACTCTGGAAGACCTCACCACGTGCTTCACCACGGACTGGGTAGCTGACATCATCAGTTTCCTTCAAACCCTACGGATCCAAGTACCTTCTCAGAAGGTACCACTTTTTGATGCCGACTGATGTTCCAGTCTGGACACCAAGCAGTCAGCTGATGCGTCACTCGCATCGGAACCAACCGGGGTATGGGAATTGGGGTTTGATGCTCATAGAAACCCAGCAACGCTGAGCTCATGGAGGGAGGACAAGGACTTGTACTTGTACTTTGTTGATTCTTGGGAACCATGTCCCGACCATCAGATCATCATCTACTTATATACTTGACTGACATGGCACAGTTTTTGTCTGTTTTTGTCATCAGTTTAGCGGAACGCGAAACCAGTGGTTCCGGAAACCACCAAGCCAAATATCATCTACAGGATGCTTTCCAGATGGAGGCCATCGCTAGGTTGGAGGCCATCGCTTCTAGGCTGGAGGCCGATGCTTTCCACAGATCACTCACAACACCCTCCGCAGGCTCTGGAGGAGTGGCACAGTGCTGTGCAAACTGCCACGGCGAAGGCGTGCGAGACAGCAGCGCAAGGAGTCAAAGGCGGGGCAGCACACAGCGCAGCACACGGTCCGCGCGGTCCGCGCGCAGTCCGCGCGGTGCAGGTTGAGTCGACTCGGAGTGACCACTTCGTATAGGTCTTCTCCAAGCTACTAGCAATGGCCTCCAACCTAAAAGCGATGGCCTCCAACAAGCCTGGCACTGGTTGACTTTGGTTCATGTTTCTTCCGCCTGTGAGCTCTCTTTGAAGGAAGATATGAGGAAACCATCCTCTATACCCCGACGGAGCCTCCGTTAAATGGGCCAACTTCCGGTCATTCAATGTGACTTCACATGCGTGGCAACAGCTGACCAATTGAAGGGTCAGCAACTGGACCAGCAGACTCTGCATCCCTTTAAATGAGAAAACAACTGACTGGTGCGACTCGTAGGGAATGAGGGAAGAGATTGCTTAGGGTCCAGCCACCCTCATTCCCTACGAGTCGCACCAGTCAGACGGTCAGTCATTCGATGGTTCATTGGGGGTGGAACGTCGAACGGCGAACGTTGAACGTCCAACACCTCAACCGGTCGAATTGAACGATGGGAATGTGGGAGATCTGGCCGACAGTTCCTTTGGGTGGTGGAATAACATATAGATATGATTAGATCATAGTTGCGCCACCGTGAATCGTACTTTTTCAGGTACCTCCCTCCACTGCCGGGGTGGCACATCTCGCACCCCGTCCGGAGGCAGCGTGAACATGGAGGCCATCAAGTCGGAGCTGCACAGGCGCCTCCGTGCGGCGGAGAGGTATAGGGGTCCTGGACCCTCCCGGGTGGGGAGACGTGCGAGTGCGAGTGGCGTGGATGTCACTGCGCCCGGCTCTTCTACTCGGCACCACTCGGCCTCGGCTGGTCATTTGGCAGCTCGAAGCGTTTGGAGAGTTGCACATCACTTGGGCGTTCCACCGGTCTTGGAGTTTCCCCATGTGGTCAGCGGATGGGTTTTGAGATCAGAAAGGGTCTGTTCGTGGATGTGATCATCGGGGCGAAGGAACTCCTCCCCGATGCATGTGCGACGTGGGCCTTCCCGAATTCCGAAAGGCGAAGGGTTCTCGTTTAGAAGGTATATGGGGGTGTGGGAGGGGGTCTATAGGTCGTGTTCGCCCATATACCTTTTTTTTACCTTCTCCCCCGGTGGAGATGTTTGTTCACCCCGGCGCTTGTGGACCTCGTGGACCGGGGTCCGGAACCCCCCAGGGTCCCGAGGACTCGGTCGCTTTCTGGGCTTCTACGGTGACTTCGCGCCCTGAAACGCTGGTTTTTCTGAGGTTCTTGTTGTGAAACCACTGATCCCGAGCGGGTATCGCGTCAGAGGGTCCCGGACGCTTGGAATCTGGAGGTCTTTAGGGCCCACCCTTTGTGACTTTGTGGAGAACATGCTTTCAGTGATGTCAGAACCCTGGACATCCAGGACCTTGTTTCAGAAGGGTCGAACTGGATGACCCGAGCGGACTGGCTTTTCCTTCAACTTGGGCGGTACTAAACGTGGTCGAACTGGACTTCACCTTCTTGCAGACTGAGAGGCGTCCACCCTCTTCCGGTTCTTTTTCTGCAACCGGACTTCTAGGGAGAATCCTTTGCCCATGCACTGCTTGCTTAGCAGCCTCCACCCTCCGCGGGCTCTTTATGAACACCCCCGTCGCCCGAAACACTCGTCGGGGCGTCGCGGGGAACCGCGACCGTCGCCGTCCGGAAGGCAGCAAGCAGTGCAATTCTGGACACACTATTTCCAAACCAGTGCTTGGAGCTCAGCGACTTTTCAACGGGGTGGGGACAAATTGGGGACCCCCTCCCACTTGTCGATCCTGACCGCGGTGGGGACCTTGCTTTTGGGGGACCCCGGCACTTCAGTGGCGCACCCCGGTGGGCCGAGTGTTCGCGGCGTGCCCGAAGCTTCACTGTGGGAGAACATCTTTGAAGCAAATTGGCCTGTTTTTAGCTCTGAGTGTTCCAAGTTTGGGGTTGAATACCTGGTGGAACATGGTGGAACCTGACCACTTAAACGTTGGCTGGGTTTTTTAGCCGGAGGGTCTGGCCCAGACCAGTCTGGCCCAAGGGACTTGGAGGATCCAAGAATGGGCAACACAAATGGTCAAGGCACGTCAAGGCATTTTGGCCAACCATGGTGGAAGCTGGCTCCATTAGTCTGGCTCCCCATCCTGCAAGAGTGTGTGAAAAGTAAGCCTGTAAGAACCCATACTGTATGGGGACATGGGGACATCCGGTACATGGTTTTCGTCCCATTGTTGGGTTCCTTGTCCGGTTGTGGAAGCCAAAATCATTGGTCTTGATATGTCTTGATCGACAGGGCCATCATGTATTCTCTCCATCAGTTCTCTTGCACTCCACCGCTCAAGACGTTGTGGCAGCATCGCCTCCCAAACATGGCCACCCAGCCGCTGGTTCCTTCAGCGTCGTTCCTTCTACTCCGCAGCCCTCCAGGCCAAGGTGGGCTGGTGGGACTTTGCGGACGCCTTCCAGGTGCCGCTTCCGACGCGACGCACCCGGAGGGGTAGGTTGGTGGACGGTAGAAGTGGGACATGGCACCGCCCTCCGTCTCCAACTCTTTGATGCGGACCTGGGAAGCCTCTATGGCAGTGGGTCAACGGTTGAGGAGCGATGGGAAGAACAGAATGGACGACGAAGGAGGTCAACGATGTCGGTGGTTTGGGACCTCCGGGTTTTGACCTGTTTTGACCCACAGCCCGATGTGTCGAAGTCGAAGTCGAAGTCATGTGCGCAGCCGAGAGAACTTTTCCTGTTCCTTTTTTTGGGGGGGGGGAAAAGGTGGAAAAGGGATGCGAAGCAGGCGACGCTTGGGCGTGTCGGGAGTCGGCGCGACAGCGAGCGCGCTTGCTTCACGAGGAGTGTTTCTGTGGCAACAGTTGTCCAGCCGATCTGTTGCAACATCTTCGCAAGCACCTGGCGAAGCCATGCAAAAGGCCGGGAGTGGACTGTGGGCGGTCTAGGTGTTTGGCCCAGATCGATCGCGACGGTGTTCGGCCACGGGCCACCGTTCATTCGCGTGCGTGGCCTGCTGGAAAATCCCTTGGCGTCCAGGGTCAAAGTCAAGCCATGAATGTTTCGTTTGGATGACACTCCCATCACCTCCACCAGTTGTTGGTTCTAAAATGCTGAACTTCTTGGAATTCCATGGATTTTCTGCGGCAAACTCAGAGTGTGGCTCTCTGTGGGCAACGAATCACCGAAAGTGTTTTTCAATCACCTCGTTACGTGGGACTTCATCACCTTCAGGATAGGCCAAGCGAAGTCAGGGCTGACCAATCTCCTTGTTCTCAGATGTTCCCAGTCACAAAGGCTGGGGTGGTTTTTTGTCCCTAAGTGAGTGGATCGTGGGCCCCCCTATCCTCCGTTCGGAACCGGCATCCCGACGTGACTGCTGCTTCGTGTGTCTGTGTGTGTTTGATTGTTCTGTGGATGCACCGTGAAGTGACGATCCATATGTCATGCCACGTGCTTCTTCTCCTCAGAACAGCCGCACCATTGGGGCCCACGGACGGATCGGACCTTTCGTGTAGACGGATCCTCCATGGTCAGTCGCGTGGCACTGCATTCCTGGGAATCCTTCATTCAGAAGTATGGCCCCTTGGATGCAGATGTGGTGGAAGACTTGGCGAAAGGCTTAGGAGATTTGGCTCAGAAGCATGGCCTTCTTGCTGATTGCTGATCCGTGTGATGCACGCTTTGGTGGTATTAGCTTTGGTGTCAACTGTTCAAACATTCTTGCAGCACATTGTCAATAGAGCCTGTCTCAAATCAATGCGTTTGGAACATCATATTCCCGACTTTCCGATTGCATTTTCTTTTATATCGAGATCCTGAGTTGATGGTTTGGCATTCCTGCAGTGTGTGGACCACAAACTCGACTCTTTTGTCTCCGCATGCAAACGACAAGAACGAACAGACAATCACAATGAATAATGTAGTACTCCCGTTCAATTTCCAATTTGTGCGGATTTCTGGGGTTTGTTGTAAATCTCTTACTATATCCTGAATTGTCCTTCATCTGAGTTGCCAGCACCTCCGCCCCACCTCCCCCAAAGCCTCCCACCACCCTCCGCATCATCTTCTGCACCTGTCACACATCGCGCCGGCTCTTTCTTCGCCGAGGCACCAGTGCCCCAGAGATCATCAAGGCCTTGGTGAAAGAGGCGCTTCGCCCGCTTCGCACGCCCAGCGCTTCGCCGCACAGCGAGCTTCCCCGCAGGGTGCGCGAAGAGCTGCTTGGTGTTTCGTACTTTTATTCCCAGCCACTGAGGCAGTGAGGTGGTATCTGAGCAGCGGTATTCCCACGAAACATTTGTGCTGGTGGTAAGATAGGCATCTACTACATACATCTACAGCTGGTTGTCAGTCTGTCCTTTTTTACTGCCTACGGATTGTTCTAAAAGCAGAAACAATAATTGCATGGAACTGGAATCATGTTAGGTAGGTTTTCATTGAAATCATGTGAGGCTACCAGGCTGACAGAGCCCTACCCTGGCCCTGCCCACTACGTCTTCCCCTGCCTGGGAAGACGTAAAGAATCTCATTCGACCGGATGGAGGAATGATATCACTCATTGTCCTGTGTAATCAGGGGGTGTAGGGGCATTGCAGTTATAAGCTATGATGCATTCAAAGTCTTTGCCACGTACTCATCCAAAGGTGTTTGCTGCAACTTGGGGCTAATCCCATATTCATGGTCCATCATTCCGGCTTTGCTTTGCTATTCCCCAAGCCGAAGAAAGATCATGGCCACCCAATCCTTTGCACCACCTGGGTGGACCGACGGGCGGATCGACAGCCCGACAGCGTCGAGCGGGGTCGTGACTGGTCTGTTGGTTCTCGGCGACTGAGCTACGTAGCGTCCCTGGGTGCAGACGGAGCGTGCAGAGAAGATGAAGACGCGACCCTGGGCCGTAGCCTCCTAGGTTTGGAGGGACCAAGGGCTGTGAACGGAGCGTCTGGTCAGGTGATGGATGATTTGCCTGCCACGATCTACAAGCAAAGCTCCTTGGGCCCGGCCCTTGGTGAGAGCCAGCGGTCCAGCGCAGATAGCACGTGCACAGGCGGTCCGAGGTTGGTTGGATAGGCTGCATGCTTTGGGGAATTGCTGGATATACCATGATCAACGTGATAGAGTCTACCTGATCATTTGCTGGTCTATCCAGTGTAAGACCCTACAGGTGGATCTGAAGCTCTTTGAGAAGAAGTCGAGGGACCCTGATCGGCCCTGTCTACGCAAGTCCAGTGATGGGGACTCGTCAAACAGCTCCGTCGTAGGATCTACAGGGCCCTTAAAGATCTTAAAGAAATGACTGAAGTGGACCACGGGCCCCCCTGGTGGTGACCATTTTTCGTTCCCTGACAGGTGGTGAATGGTATACACTACACTAGGTTTCAGAGTATATACCAGCGGTCACCTGGCTGGATATCATCCACGTAAACAGGTCTACAGACAGGGCATCCCGACAGGAAGCGCTAGGTAGATGGCACAATCCTCAAGTTGGGTGGTTGAGACATCGAGCCTGTGAAACCACTGTAATCTGTAATTAGTATAAGTCTTTTGGGGTTTCTTAAGGGTTTCTTATGGGTGACACCGGGGAAATGCACAGCTTTCCAAGTATGGCCCTTTGGATTTACTCTGTTTGGGATTTCCACGGTCTCATCGAAGCTCTCCGCGCTCCGCCCCACCGGGACGTTGCTTTACCGCCGGAGAAAGAGCTCAGGCAGTGCTCAAGAGGAGGCAGAGGCCACGGCAGAGTGCTTGGGTGGGGTTTCTAGGCACCGGCAGTCTGAGCAGTCTGACTCTGTTTGGGTGTGATATGGGTTTTACAGGGATTGCCTTCCGCTTTTTCAAGTTCAGTTCAGTTCGATTGCCCTCCCATCCGCTGCCACTCCGCTGCCACTGGGCCTCCCATCTCGTCTCATAGATATGTTTAGGTGGACTGGTTTGTGCTTCACACCACTAGAAGACCAAGATCCCATTCCAACGTGCTCAAAGGCGCGCGTTCATTCCACTTAGAACATGTTGTGTGGCAGAGCTCCATATATGTTTACCACTGGAGCCACGAGTTCGGGACATGGCATGATGATGAAATACAACCGTTCCATCGAGTCAACATCACATGACTCGATCCGATCCGAGATCCCCATGTGGCTCCCACTGACCGCTGGACCGGGAACCAGCGGGTTTCGCTCGGATCTGAAAACGACGTGGCGTGTTCGGTGGTCGTTGTGCGTTTTCCGTCCTGGATCCACTGGACAGTTCGGTGGAGCCTCCATTGGCTCAACATGATCAGGTCGACTGTTGAGCCAACCTTGACTGGGTCCGTTCTGACCTGTGTCACTACCTCCAATCATCACTATTTGTGAGATGGGAAGGCCTGCAACTGAACCATCATCCACTCGGCCCTGGCAGATTGGGATCGACCCAAGGTATAACTCTCTCTCCAGAAGAAACCTAGAATGATAAAGAATTGACATAAACTCACACCGAAACCCATTGGTTGGGGTTCTCTCTATTCAATTACACCCGTATACCATCACCCTTACGTTGTTGGTTTGTCAGAGGATCGACACTCTCAGACTGAAAAACGCCGGCACCACCCAGGGGATCGATGTTTCGACGGCCAGTGATAGAGCGAGGAGGGATGGCAGTGATGGAGCTTCTCCCAATGTTTCGAGTCTTGGATTGGTTTTGGTGATCAAGTTGGAGGTCAATGGATGTGTTCCTCTTCATGGCTTCGAACGACGTCAGTGATGTTCCATCCCTTTTTCCTCCAATTGACTTCGTCTCTGCTCCTGCAAGCCAGCTGCCCACCTACACCCGTGGCTCGCTAGGTGTTGCAGTTGTTCACGGTGAAGCGGCACCTGAAAACGGAGAAGGTGGGGCGAAGTCTCTGTCTCTGTGGCCCTGACTCTTCGCCGAAGTCTGGGGTCGGGCCGCGGTGCTGTGGCCGAAAGGCTTCTTGGTTTCACTGTGAAGGTCATGGGTCTCGTGGCATGAACGTCCGATATGATGCAATGCTGGGAAATTCACGGTTGCAACTGGCCCGAAACAAAGGACAAAGGCACGTGAAGCGAAGTTCACTTTTTTGAAGGGAGACAAACCACCCGGAAGACCAGGAACAGTCCAGGATCCTTCATGCATTACACCACCGTAGACCCCAAACAGTTTGTGTTTTTCAAAATCGAAACTAGAGCTTGCGACGTCCAGAGCTGGGAGATAAATGTAAAGGATTGCAAGGCAGAGACGGACACAGCAGTACAGAGCGGGGGGACACATCTTAAGAAAGAAGTGAGAAGCCCTAACAGTAAACCTTTTGGGGAATTATTCTTCAAGCGCGAACATGATGCTGGTCATGCTGCTCAGTCAGCGGGGAGCTGACCACGTGAGGACAAGAAACAAAAGCATGAGGAGCGAAGGATGTGACATGAAATTGATTTTTGGTGCCTGACATATGCCCTCCGCCCCAACTGAAAGAGAGATCGCTGCCACGCCGCCGAAATCCAATCCGGTCATTCATCCAACGGTTGCCCGAGAAGGAAAACAAAGCTGAGAGAGTTACACAGTGTGGCAGGTTCACAGGCGAACCTGTTCCAGCGGACAGGGCAGAAAACAGCAGTGCAGGCACCAAACCTGAAAGACAAAAAGAAAGAAATCACATGGGAGACAAATGAATAGAAATGCTACATGGCCAGCGGAAAAGGGCGGCAGCACCAGTGACAGACCCGGGAAACAAATTAATAGAAATGCTGCATGCCCAGCGGAAAAGGGCGGATACCAACAGTGACAGACCTGGGAGACTAATGAATAGAAATGCTGCATGGCCGACGAAAAGGGCGGACACCAGCAGTGACAGACCTGGGAGACAAAACACTGGCAGTGACAGACCTGGGAGACAAATGAATAGAAATGCTACATGGCCAACGGAAAAGGGCAGACACCAACAGTGACAGACCTGGGAGACAAATGAATAGAAACAGCGGAAAAGGGCGGACACCACCAGTGACAAGCCTGGGGGACAAATGAATAGAAATGCTGCGTGGCCAGCGGAAAAGGACTGAAATTAGCAGTGACAAAGACAATTGAATAGAAATGCTACATGGCACCAGCAGTGACGGACCTGGGAGACAAATGAAGCATTTCTGGGAGATAAATGAAAAGAACCGGGAGACAAATGAAAGCAAGTGGGAGACAAGCGGGCCGGGAACCCGACCACAAGCACCCAGCCTGGGAGACAAATGAAAAGAAGTGGGTGACAAATGAAAAGAAGTGGGAAACAAATAAGAGGAAGTGGGAGACAAGCCGGCCGGGAACCCGACCACAAGCAGAAAAGAAGTGGGAGACAAATGAAAGGAAGTGGGAGACAAGCTGGCCGGGAACCCGACCACAAGCACCCAGCCTGGGAGACAAATGAAAAGAAGTGGGAGACAAATGAAAGGAAGTGGGAGACAAGCCGGCCCGGAACCCGACCACAAGCACCCAGCCTGGGAGACAATGAAAAGAACTGGAAGACAAATGAAAAGAAGTGGGAGACAAATGAAAGGAAGTGGGAGACAAGCCAGCCGGGAACCCGACCACAAGCACCCAGCCTGGGAGACAAATGAAAAGAACTGGGAGACAAATGAAAAGAAGTGGGAGACAAATGAAAGGAAGTGGGAGACAAGCCAGCCACGAACCCGACCACAAGCACCGAGCTTGGGAGACAAATGAAAAGAACTGGGAGACAAATAAAAGGAAGTGGGAGACAAGCCGGCCGGGAACCCGACCAGACCATCCAGCACCAAGGCGACCATTCTTTAAAGCATTGAGAACCCCTAACAGTAAACTGTTTGGGGAATAATATGAATATGTCATATACCAGGATCCTTCCGTTCGAGGTGTCTATGAATAGCCTCGTTTTACGAGGTGAGGAAGGGGGTGTCCAAAAAAGCCACCGAGATCCGATCCTCAGCCCTGAGATCGATCGTCTCCGTCTCTACCATGTTTGCGAAGAGTTGGAGGATCCCAGGTCAGATGACCCGGATAGAACCACCAATGGAACCGGACGAATCCACACAGGTGCGGATTAATCTCCCCGCAAAGAATTTCCCCCACCTGCTGTCTGTTTGACCAGTCGACCTGATAGAAAAGACCCCAGTCAGACTTTGGACATCTGACCATCGGAAGATCCCCAGGTATAGCCTTGGTTCAGCCTCCTTTGTTCACGTCGTTTCTTCCCCAAAACAAGGCCACGACCGCACCGGCCAGGTGGCGCGGGAGGCGAGACCGCCGGCGGTCTCGGTCTCGGACGCGACGGCGAGACCGTCGTTGCGGCAGGCGTGACGGTTGACGGGAGTCGTGGACATGGTCTGAGCACCAAAAAAGACCGAAAGGGTTGGGTGAAGAGGGGTGAAGAGGGGATGGGATATGTTGGGGGGTGAGGAATTGATATACTTTTGGGTGTGGCGGTGTGATTTTGGTGCACTGGGTGGGGCGGTGAGAGGGGGTGGGGCAGTCAAGATATGTCGAGGTGGAAGTTGGGTGATTCTCCCTTCAATTACGATCGATGGTCACCGCATCAACGCTGGACACCTCAACCGCAGCGAAAACACGCCAGCCTTTTGTAAGACATGGAGTAGCCGGAGCTCGGTGTCGACCTCGCAGCCGTAGCGCCAGGCCGCTACCTCGTTGGGGGAGGACGACTTGTTGCAAAAGGCGCCCGTCTGCGCCCGCCCGCCGCGCACGCGCACGCGCACGTCTGCGCGGAAGAGTCCGCTGGTCGAAGAGTTGGATGTGCGCCGTGAGGAAGAATTGGATGTGCGCGCAGGTCTTCTGTTGGGGAGAAGTCCCGGAAGTTCAAGAAAAGACCTGGTTTGAAAAGACATATGATGGTGAACACTCACCTTAATGAACGTTTCTGTGATGGGTATATTAATTAGGATCGAAATTGGTTAGAAACCTTCATCCAGAAGCAGAGGTCGGGTGTAAAGCTCTGACCCTTTTGAGGGGACTGAGGCCCCTGAAAGTATGGTGTCCGGCTTTTGAACAAGGATATGGAAAAGATTCGAAAAAAGTAGAGATTTCTGCATGGTCTTTAGGGTGCCTGAAAGGGAATTTCCTTTGCTTCACTACGGACAAGTATAGTCTTTTTGGACTTCTATACCAGGACACCCTAAGGTGTTTTTTCTATTAATTAATAGCTCCTTAGAGGTTAAGGGGTGTCCATTGACCACCCCTTGTGGGTCCTGGTATAGTGTCTATCTCTTGAATCTCTTTCTCTAGAATCTAGCAAAGACAATCCGACGTCCTGACATAGACAGCCGCTGTTGGGCACGTTCTCCGTCAGCGACTCTGCTTGTCTTTCACAAGGATGAGGACATTCAAAGAACTATACACCTTTCTTCTCAGGACTTGGAATTGCTCCCCCCAAACATCGCCTAAACATCGAGAGCTCGAGCAGCCGAGCCATGGCAGCTGGAACAACCACCCCAAAGCGCCGGATCCGGATCCGGGATCCGGACTTCCCAGGTGTCTCCAAGTGGGAACACGGCACCGCCAGGCGAGGGGGGTCGGGAGGGTCGTGGGCGACATGAGCCGAGGGTCAGGGTCAGGGAAAGAGGGTCACATCGAGAAAACACGATGAAAACAGGTCTCAACTAACCAGCTGCGAAGGGATTCTGGTTTAAAGTCATTAGATGTGAGCGAGTAAATCTATAGCGAACTCGGTGTAAACTGGTAGATGTCCAGACAACAGCATCTGGAAAGAACCGCATAAGTGCCGCGTCAGTGACGACAGACAGACAGACTCGACAACTGCTGTCCCTCGAGACCCCCCCCCCCGCTGCAAACGGAGCCTGGGAGCCGCAGCATGCGGATGAGATGGGACCCGTGATGGGGTGTGTGGTGTTCTTCTCCACCCTAGAAGTCCAAACACTATACTTTGACCGGCTGAAGTAAAGGAAGTTCCCTTTCAGGTTCCCTAAAGACCATTCTTTTTATAGTCTTTGACTCCCCTTTGACTCCCAGGGTCCGAGTATCTCTGAAACTCGGTGATTGAAGTGGGTGGGCTGGGGGTCAAAACCACAGGAGATGCTTGGCCAGATGCATTTCAACGGATCCTGAGATCCTTTGGTGCTTGAGCGGTCGGATGATCCCAGGGGCTGAGAGATCAAATGCATTGGAATTCATCAACGACTTGTAGCTATATCGATGGACTTTTCCTTTTGAACTGTCCAAAAAGGCTCGCGTCTGATGGAGTCCGCCTCTCTTCTTCCCTATAGCGATGCCGACGCCCCAAAAAGGACACCCGTCGACGCCCTGCCTGGGCCCGATCGCTTCGGAAAGCCTTCGCCTGCCCCGATGGGTTTCCGCGAGGAGTTCAGATGGTGCCGCACTCAAGGCGATGGAGCGACGGAGGGGCGGGGAGGGCCTGGGCCTTCTTCGGCGCCTGAGATCGGTGCAACGGTGGGTGGGGGGGAGATGGAAGAAATTTGTGAAGAAGAATGGGCCAATTTGGGTGTGCCAATCACAGCACCTGTTGGAAGATCTCAACTCCACTTTTTGGGGGGTCTCCTGGGTGCAGACATAAGTCTTCTGGAAGTCATTGCACCATGTTCTCATGATGAACGATGGATTGGTATATAAAGTAGCTATATCCCAGTTTTTCTTGGATCAACCTTGCGAATCCGATCCACAAGTCTGGTGCAGAGAAAAGAAGCGCCTAGACCTAGCAGAAGACTCGAGGACCATTCCCAGAAGAAGTGGGGTAATTCTCGGAGTGTCGAGACCTATGTATTCTATTTTTTGATGCTATAGGTGCAACCTATGTATTCTATTCCCTATGGGTTCGACCTATGTATTCTAGGTGTAAAGGTTTGTTTCTTCTTCACCATATGTTTGTTGCTCGAACTTGTGGCAGGGGGCTTGTTGTGTGCAAGGCGAGGGATAAAATCAGATGTTGGAGATTAGGGCCCTCGGAACGTTCCATTTTGGTGGAGGGCAGCATCCACTGAATAGTGGCATGGCCAAAGCCTTTTGTAGAGCAGCTCTTTTGCTTCCCCACAGAAGCTCCTGGCTGCCAGTGTCCCCCGATGTTTTCATGTTTGGAGATTCATGTACCAGGATCATCCTGTCTGGGTGTCCAATAGACTCTACCCTACCCCACTTATAGGTCTCCAGACAGGGCACCCATTGGAAGTGCTAGGTAACTAGTGACAGGTTCATTCACCACAGATGGTGGATCCTGGCGTTTGCAGATGGCCCTGGTGGTGGGGAAGACTCACCTGAAAGGCCTTGTCGTCACTCCTCTATCCCCTCTCGGTGGCTGAAACATGGTTGTTGTTTTTTTCCCACCCCCCAAGGCCCCCAAAAGGGCCCATCCAAAGCGAGCCTTTTTCACCTCCATGGAACGCGGGCACCCTCCACATTTGAGGATCAACATCCTATCAACACAGAACAACCACCTCACTGTGACTCCACCCCACCCCATCACGTCCTACTGTACCTCCTACCTGGTCCTACCTCCCCTCCACGTCCTCCCCACGTCCTCCAGGTCCGCGCAGCGGAGCAACAGCCGCCGTGAGATGGACAGCGCCACGCCGCAGGACCGTCGACGTGGGGTGTGTGGAGGCCCAGCGTTCTCCAACCACCAGATGTTGGGATGGTAAGACCATCATTCATAGGCACCATGGTAACCATAGGCTGGTAACCATCGTTTAGTTATATAGCCTATTAATTTAAGAGGCTTTGTGTGATATATGTTGGATGGTCTATATCTAAACTCTAGACATCCGTTTGACCATGAAACAAATGGACATGAACTGTTTTTTTGTGGTGGTTGAATCCCAACAGTTGGTTCGGGATTCAGCCTATGAATTTCATCGTCGTTGGAAGTCTAGGGTTTAGTTGATAGACCATCCAACATATCATACCTTCCGTGATGTGTCCCCCAAAATAGTCGTGGATGTGTGGATTAGAAGGGGTGGTTTCGGTGAAGCCAGTGGTGATTCATGGATATTGATGGGGGTGGTAGTGTGGTCGTCCAAGGGGCGTCCAAGGGGGCGTTTCCGTTTGGACATCCAACGGGGCCGCCATGACTCTGCATATAGCTGGATAACATGTGTGCTTGTTTGATCTGTAAAACCAGTCAACAGGCAGACATTGGAAGATCCAGGTGGGTTGGTTGATTGGAAGGGAATGGAAGGGAATACTAAGTGGTTTTGGTGTACAGCCAATGCACAGCCAATGCGGTAGTAGAGGAAGAGTAATTTCACGGACTGAAGAAGCTGGTTCGCCTCCGCCTGGCCAATTTTGGGTTGTGTTTGCCCAGACACGACCTGTCTGGGACTGCCATAGGACTGCCGGCCCAGACTGACAGACCCCCCCTGGCACCCCTGGCCGTGAAACTAGTCCGCAGTCCCAGATGGCGGTGGTGTCTTGGGGACCCCGACACCGGTGTGGGCGCCGCTCTGGTGGTTCGCCGCCGCATCAGCCAGGATCCGCGGATGCAAATGGCCGCCGCGGAGCCGGGCGACGTGATGAGCCGGAGCCGAAGAAGCGACGGCGAGAGAGGTTGCACCCGATCAACAGAGGTCTTGGAGAGTCATTAGGAAAAAAGGCGAAGAACAAGCTCTCTAAGTCTCTAAGTACCACATGGGTAGTCACATGGCCTTTGAGCGACCTGAACTGGAAGCCGTTTTTTTTCTTTTTGTGGATACGATCATTCGGAAAAGGGGCTGTGAAGAAAAAACTCTTGAGTCAGGTACTACATGGGGTAGTTCATGACATGTTCCTGGACTCTTAGCTAGGGTTTGTCCCATCCTTTCCATTCAGCTTTGGTCTTGACTGCTCCACTCAGCTGGAACTCAGCTGAAGCGCAGTCGCATCCCTCAGGCTGGGAAGAGTTCGAGAACCAACTGCAGGCCTCTTCCAGGCCAAGAACTCGGAGAGAGCAGATTGGCGTGGCAGGAGCGATCGGAAGATCCCTTGAAAAGGGGCGACCCTGGCCTTACGACTCGAACGGAACCGGCATCGGGGCATCGCGAAGAGGACGACGTCCGGAGCGATCGGACGCCACGGGCGTGGGAACGAAACGCAGGTGAAACAGAGCCTCTGGATTTGGGTGGACAGAGCCTCGCATCCTGGAAGGTCCATTCTTGGAGTGTTTGAGCCGTGTTCATCCGAGTCACGAAGATATTTGCAACAGTGCAACAGCAACGAACACAAATGTAGTCGTTCGTTCGCTGTTGGGGCCTGTCTTCCTTGTTGGGGCCTGTCTTCGCTGTTGGGACTTTCAAACGATCATCAGACCAACAACAGCCACCAAGCGAAGCGCAGCCCCCTCACCGACCCAGCTGCCACGGCCTTCGTGGCACCGGGCCACACGGTGACACCACCGTCCGCGGTGGTTGGGAGGCCCTGGTGGTTGGGACCCCATTCCGAGCTGCCCGGGGCCCGAACACGAGCCCGGTGGAGGGGTGGACCCAGGAGGTCTCAGGAGGTGATTGGAGGCCGGACGCGAGCCGAACGGGGCTCCTGGCCCTTACTACTAGGAACTAAGGTTCGCTACTCTAGGAACCAAGGGCATCGCGACTCGAGCAACCGGAGCGAGAAAGGACGCGACTCGAACGGCTGGAGGCTATCTCAGGGATGTTTGACTTGGAGGATGAGACCCATGACCAGACATTCAACGTTGTTCAGCACCTTCCTTCCATCACCCGGTCTCCAATAGATTGCACACAGGTTTTGTGTATCTCGATTGAGCCCTTTGAAGGTCCACAGGAGCCCCGTTCGGTTCGCGTCCTTGTTCTAGGTTGGGCCAGAAGGAAACTGCTGGGCACCAAAATGACCAGGCGGACTGCAGACCATTTTCTTTGGGCACTAGACATCGAGAAACACCAATGATGTTTGCTCCTACCCTGGTAGTTTGTTAACCCCTCGGGATTTCAGTGTGAAACGGGTATTATTATAGGAGTGTAACAGTGTACTCTATGGGACTGGCTTATATTACCTTCACCGGGGTTTTCTTGACCTGGGGTCCATTGATCTTCAGAATGTAATATTTATTTCTTTATTTCTTTTAAATACTCGTTTTACTACTGAAGAAACATTTGATTAATTGTTCATATGAATCGAAACCTATGTTGATTCTAGACATTTTTATAGGTTGGGTATGGTTCTTCAATGTCATGTTTATGATGGTTTGTTTTTTTCGCGGTTTTGAGGAAAAAACACCATGCCGTTATGCGTTCTTTTTGTAAAACATCTCTTGGACCACCCCGGTCTCTTCAGAGACCTCCCTCTCTCCTCGTCCTAGGTCGCAGACCAAGGACTCGCCGGTGCCGGACGTGACCCTGACCGGTTCTTCTTGCTTCGGCTGCTGGTTCTTCTTGGGACTCAAGTCGAGCCCAGCGGTGAACCTGAACATCTGGATGTTCTGAACATCTGGTGGAGGTCTTTCACGCGGGGAGGGTGGTCGCACAACTCCATGCGTGGTCGCGCGACTCTGCCACCTTTTTCGAGCCCGGAGGAGTAGATCCGGCGGGCCCCCAAAGTGGTGTTCGGCGCTCACTGGGCCCCCTGGGATCACAGCCCGGGAGGCTTACGGCCGTTGTTTCGGAGACATGGCAGTGCAGGATCTCGGCCATGTTTGCGAAAGGTCTGGGCTCTCATTGGAGGTCCAGTCTTTGACCAGAATCGATTGAAGACACATTCTTATGAACCAAAAGAGTGGTGAAACAGCTGAACCAGCTGGAGAAGAAGAAGAATTCCGATGGAATTCCGCCGAAGAACAGAATATGGTTTGTGTGAAAGAAAGGAGTGAAGGAAGGAAGTAAGGAAGGGAGGGAGGGAAGGGAAGGGAAGGGAAGGAAAGGGAAGGGAAAGGCCTTCAAAGGGACTTGCAGGAACCGCACTTGCACGAACCACCTTTGTCAGGCAGTTGCATCAAGCTTGCGGAAGCAAAAATCACGGTACTTTGATTCAGTGTGGGACTCCTGGTTTGTGAAGAACTTCCGTTGTTTGTTCCGGTCATGTTTTCTTTGGACCAAACAAAGCACAGGAGCCGCTTTTCGTCCAAGCACTTCAGGGTGTGCAGAGCAGCCTCACGGCCACCCGCAAGGTGGTTTCGGGAATCGGTTCGAGAGACCGGACCCGTGGTTCTTTAGCGGCGGGGAGAGACGGTGATCTGACGGTCTCCGATTCGGGTCAAGAGCATGGACCTAACTTGTTGTATAGCAGCACCCGACTCAAGCTGGGTCACCAGCTGGCACTTTTGAAGTCTTCAAAAGCCTCCAGAGGAGACCTGTAGAGTCAGGTTCTGCTATTGAAATCAGTCACAAGCGCCGAGATGCGTCACCCGATCTCATGCGTATGTTCACGACAGGACATGACCTACATGCAGATGTCTGGAACTGCACGTTGGAACCAGTGCAAAACCACCCGAATTCGAGTGGCAGATGCAGAGTCCAAAGAGAACCATTTAGTGTTGGCTCAAGTACCCTATGATACTCTCATGTCCACAATTATTTGACTGGAGGTCTGTGAATTTTCTCAGAACCCTTCGAGATGACTCGATTCCGGTCCGGTCGGCCTAGACGTCTACCGTGGCAGCAGGCGGTGGTCTTGCGGGTGTCCAGTGGCACCCTAGGGGCTGGATGCCCCCGCTTGGATGGTGGGTCCAGACACTCAGAGCGCGATGCGTCGTTGGGAGTTCGGCTTCGGCTGCCTGGGATGTGAGTGGGGTCGCGGGCGCGGGGGGCTTTCCCGCCGCAAGCGGTTGCAAGCAGGTTTAGAGTTGGGCATCAAGCAGTCAAGCAGTGGGACCTTTCTTTGTCAAATTCTTCTTATAAAAGAAAGCACACAAAGGTGCTGTATTCGGCTCGTTTCATGCCTCACATGGCGGAGGGTCTTTCCACAGCCTTCCCACCATGGTCCTTCCACAGACATGGCGAACCCGAACCCCGACGAACCCCATGTGGTCGGTCCCCGCCGCGGAACACGCCTCAGGTTGCCCGCTCTGGTGATCACGCCCCTGGGCTGAAGCGAGCCGTCGGCCGCGAGCCGTCCGCGGGGGGCAACCCACGTCGTCGTGTGGTGTCTCCGTGCCATGCGGTGGTTTCATGACGACAGACGGTAAGACGAGAAACAGAAGCAGACAGGCAGGCAGCCAGACGGACAGACAGTGGCTCTTGTGGTCTCTGCCGTGGTTTCAATTAGATGGTTAACTATTATAATGAGCCGTGTTTGGACCTACCAAGCATTTTGGCCCGAGAGCCATTTCCTCTAGGCACTCTATTCTGTTTCACAATGGAAATTCGAGCGCTTTCAGGTGCCATTGTCGCCCAGCTTTATGAAGAGGAACTGGGCAGTATGGTGTTGTTTGGACAATCTGTCAGGGATCTGAAGAATCTCCTGAGCGTCCGGTGCCTTGGAGGAACCTCAAGATTTCGACAACGGCTCTTGGCTGAAGAGATGGGCGAGCTGCAGGATGATATGCCTGTCGGACAACTACCACCAAGTTTGCAGTTGGTAGTCTTGGACTACTGTGCGCCTGAGGAGGCTGTTTGGCAGGCACTACTCTCTGCGTGTGGGAGCAATCGAGTTGTTGAAGTTGCAAGTTTGCTTCAGAAGCCATTGGATCCCAATTGGACAGGTGCAGACACTGACCGTCCACCTATGCATCATGCAGCTGAGAATGGTCATTTGGAAGTGGCGCGGTTGTTGCTAGAGGCTGGAGCTGACGAGAATGCTGCAAGGGCAGATGGGATCACCGCCTTGATGGCTGCAGCTATCTGTGGCCGCTTAGACATGGTTCAGTTGTTGCTAGAGGCTGGAGCTGACATCAATGCTGCAAGGGCAGATGGGATCACCGCCTTGATGGCTGCAGCTTCCGCAAACCAATTGGAAGTGGTGCAGTTGTTGCTAGAGGCTGGAGCTGACATCAATGCTGCACCGGCAGATGGGAAAACCGCCTTGATTCTTGCAACCATCCGTGGCCATTTGGAAGTGGTGCGGTTATTGCTAGAGGCTGGAGCTGACAAGAATGCTGCAATGGTAGATGGGATCACCGCCTTGATGGCTGCAGCTTCCTCAGACCGCTTGGACATGGCGCGGTTATTGCTAGAGGCTGGAGCTGACACGAATGCTGCAATGGCAGATGGGAACACCGCCTTGACACATGCAGCTCTCAGAGGCTGCTTGGACATGGTTTGGTTGTTGCTAGAGGCTGGAGCTGACAACAATGCTGCAATGGCACATGGGATCACCCCCTTGACGGCTGCAGCTTCCTCAAACCACTTGGAAGTGGTTCGGTTGTTGCTAG